TTCTCAACCGATGGTATGTCTTACGATCTTTTTATTAAATTATATTTGTACAATACCACCACGAGTAATTATGCTAAAGTAGGAATCAATATTAAGTTTTGCACAAGTTTCTTTATATACAAACATACTTTCCCTTTTATGTATATATTGATTTAAATATTTTTTATTTACTTAAAAATCATTTACTTTAAGTATTTATCCATATAATAATTTAATCATTTTGAATGTCCCTAAAAAAATTTCAATCTAACACTTTATTAATACTAAATTGAATATTTTAAATTTGTAGTAATTTATTATTTTACTGATGGATACGATACGAGATTTAGAAAAATTGTTTAATTAAAACGAAGAAGAGAGTTGTGCATGAAAGAATATCATAGAAATAAAAACGTTGGACTGAGAAGTATTATTGACAACATTGAAAATGAGTATTGCCGACTTTATGAAAGCTTTTGTTTCTGACATCAGAAAATTTCTTCACGAAGAGTTGGATACAAATCTTTCTATTTCATAAGTATTGAATTCTACATTCGAAAGTATATAACTTATTGTCTACAATAATATATCTCCATATAATATCAAAAGATTTATAATATTATTCTATCATCATTAATTTATTTTTACAAGCCGATTATTATTTAATATAATATTTTTATATATTACTTTTGTGATTATTGTTATTCAATTGATTATATTGCAAATACACATGTACTTCTCTACCGAATGTTGATTTACATTTACTTATTGGATTGTCACAACTACATTATGTGTGTATCAATGAAGGTATTGATTATGTACCAATATCCTAATTTATTGTTGTTGATATTAATGTATAATATTATTTTAATTTATTATTTGAAATAGGTATTTCTGAAAGTAGCAATGATACAATCGTGCCAAATACTTTTCCATAATAAAATTGTAATATGAAGGAATCAAAATTTAGGGAGTCGTACCAAGCTGTGGAAATAAAGATAAACTTTGTTCAATTACATATTTTTTTTTGTACATAATATAGTTACTATCTTATCATTATATTATCACTAATGCACTTAAATTTCCAATGTGCTCTAAATTTATATACATGTACGCATAATTGTATATATATATATTTACTTATATATCTAAAATAATAGATATCAGTTATACCAAGGTTTTATTAAAATAACCTACAACTAGAATAACGTTACATGATGAACGAAATAGTATATGTGGTCATTGTGGTGCATTTATGTGGTTCGAGGAGAAAGTCATCAACAGTCGAAAAGAATTTCCGTACTTCACTTTGTGTTGTCAAAGCCAAAGATATGTTTGTCTTTGCTATCACCTTCGCCTCCTTAACTACACAATCGGTTAGAAAATCGTTTCTTTATGCACTACAAAAAAAATTGTAAATTACTACGGAAATATTTTGTCACAACAGACAATATTTTAGTCGCAACTTACAATTGCAATGAAATTTGCATCCAAGTGGTAGTGTTAGTAAATACTATTGTAGTAATACAAAGTGACCATTTAAATTTTCCGTTGCAAAAAATTGTCATAGAAATTGTAACCGTTATTTCCGTCGCAATTTTTTGCCACAGATTTTTACTACATAAAGGTATTATGCAAAGTTAACAAATTGTGAAGGAATATAACTATTGTTAATTCCATCGCAATTTATGTGGTACTGCCTATTCAATTTATTTATTTATTTTTGCTCGTTTATGCTGATATTTCTGAAACCTATATAACAAATATTAATTCAATCCTTCGCAATCAAACCAATATAACGATTTGATTAATATCTCTAATCAAAGATACAAAAACTAAAACAGAGTCTAATAGACTACATACGAACAAAATATATTTAGTATCAGTACCACAAGTAACATATATAAGATGAATGTATAAATCGACTTTCAATTACCAAAATATCTTGCAAAAAACAACTAAAATTGTAACTAAAAAAATATATAATAATAAATCATCCATCAAATCCCGGCATGGCAAACTGTGAAAAGCAAAGCTTTCAACTCGGTTCCGGAGTTCAATCATTTCATTGTTCTCAAGTCCTTTCATAAATCATTTTGGTTGTTTCCCATGTTCTTTCTCTATAGAACTAGCAATATGGGCAACTTGACTAAAAAATTCAGCTATTGTTTCAAAATCAACTTCCAGATAACCTCTTGAAGTCATTACAGGTGTACCTAGAGCACAATCATTTTTAAAAAATCAAACTATAGTAGCCACACAAAAAAAATATAAGCCATGTAAAATTCATAATCCAGTGATAGTAAACTTACCATTTCTTACGCCTCCAGGTGTTATGTTGCCATTGTCATACAAAACAGTAACTTTATTGATACTAATGTGACAACTCAGAACTTTTCAAAATTTTTACCTACATCCCAAAATATAAACATGATCAATACATGCTACATAGTCTAAGCATCAAAAGCAGAAACTGTTATCTACATGCAACTCCAATACAATTAACGCAATATGGTTGATGAACTTGAAATAAGTATATTAACACAAACCCCGCAGACAAGCATTGCGAAAGAGTCATATAATTAAGAAATCAAATCATAAAAAAAAAAACACAATGCTATATTGGGTTCAAAGGCATCTAAGAAAATTACATCATGGTAACACTAGCAATAGGTATCTCATGTCAATATTCAACCACTAAAGAGTCCCTGATTTGATGTATTCTTTGAGCAGATGCAAATGAGATATAAACTCTATGCTTATCTTTCAATCAAAATATTCTTTGAGCAGATGCAGATGAGATACAGACTCTGTTATTTTTCAATCGAAATATTCTTTTCATCACAGAAGTCTAAATAACTAACATAACACATACAAGAACTTACTTTCATAAACAACAACAATTATGGATTGGATAAGCTAGCTAGCTAGCTCTCAACCAAAGGTATGCATAACATACATATATACTCATATCATATTTAACCAATCCATGGATGATTCAAAAAAACCGCAAATATGTTTACGGAATGAATTCTATCGTGCCTAGAATCACATCAACACCAAACCCACAAGTTCAGACACATCTCACCTAACACCAGTAAAAACTCCATCTTTGTCATTTTGGTTGAATATTGACATGGGGTGATCCGTGAGCTGAGATGTGGTTCGGAGGCAATGCCGAGAGGCAAGGCTAGAGAGAAGCCAAAGAATCTGTAGAAGAGCACTAATAGGAACTCTGTTGGATACCCCTCCACAAAAATGGTATGCACACAAACACAAATAAATCAATAATTATGTTAACTATGATACAGATTATTAGTTCTTATTTGTACAGGTGAATGCAGATGTAAACAGTTTGTCCTTTTATGGTGCGAAATCTGAGCAAGAAGTAACATAATAATATATGTAGCAAAGACCAAGAATGTTATCTAATGAATTATGGTGCATATGATTCAACTCTCCTCTTGAAACTAGTCATATTCACTTGAATCAATCTTGTCTTTTCTTTTCTCCTGAATGACCTAACACTCCCAAAACTCTTCACTGTCTTCTTATTATTGCTTCTGTATTTGATTCCAGTGTTTCTAAGACCTTTAATGGTGGACTTCCCAATTGAAGAAGTCAAGGAGATGTTTTAATCACATTCACTTCCTCCCTTTTAATGAAATCAAACAGCATATCAAATCTCTACTTAGAATTCATCGTCAATCGACACATCAATTTCTGTAGTTTTAAATTCCAAAACCATCAAGCAGAAACAATGTCACATTTGAACCCTAAAAATAGTAATCAACAAAGGCAACTGAAACTTTACTTCTCATGAAAACTCATCACTGCAAAATACACGAAACCGAAACTAAATTTGATCCCGAGAAACGGAAACAAGGAGCTTACCAACGAATTTTCTTTCTTTGTGTTAGAGCGGCAGCTGGATTTCACGTAATTCGGCAACGAATCAACAGACTCCATCGGCATTGCTCCTCTGGATCAAAACTACCAATCAATCCCCAACTTCAAGCACTCGATGCTAGCAAAATGCTCCCCAACTGATTCCAAAACTAAACCAACAGCAGAGGAACGCACGAATCTACAAAAAACCAATTACTTCCAAGCACAATGAAATGAGAGGAAAATGAATAAGAAAAATTAAGAAAATTAAGAACTGGGGAAGAAGAAAGAGCTAGAGGAATAAGCTAGTGCGGGCGGCGGCAGCGGCTGTGAATGTGCAATAAATTGATAATTGATTAGGGACGGACGAAAGTATTCATTATTAATTATTCATTTGTTTGTATAAAATTAAAATATTAAAATAATATTAATATTAATAAAAATAAAAATAAATATTTATTATTGATTCGTTTTAAATTTTATAATTTTTTATTATATAATTATATTTAATTTATATTATATTATATTATATTATATAATATACTAATATTTTTTATAATTAACTTTTAGTTTAAATTTTGATTTATATTACATACACATGCATCATACGTGTACAGTTCATAATATTGGATGTGAATGTTTTGTCCTTACATACATACTCCTTTATTATTGGATGAATTTTTTATTCTCTCTCAACCTAGTATTGTAGGTCCTAACCTCCTTATAAATATTAGACCTATTATATTTATTTTGACATAGATTGAAAACAATCAATTTCATATCACATCGCGTATCTCTCTTTCTCCTTTAACACACACATTTATATATATATATATAATATATTACACTTCACATATTATATATGCCTACATAATATATATACTCATATATTGCATACTATAATACATATATACACTAAATATATTATATTAATATTTATACAAAATAGTGATTAGCTGTAGGGATAATTAATATTCCTACTTGTTATTCCTATAATATTAATATTTACAACACGTTATCAATACGATTTGTTTTTCCGTCATGGTAGGTATATTTCAATATTATTATGACTACTAACATTGCAAAACAGGAATTCGTCCCACTTGTCATTTCTGGCAAATTTGTTATGGGCCATGGATGTTGAAACGCATCTAGAATCGATGGGCCTGGGTGAAACGATTGTGATAGGCAATAATGCCACAAATCAGAGCCGGGCAAATGCAATGATATTCCTCCGACATCATATCGATGAAGAACTGAAAATGGAATATCTCACAGTCAAGAATCCTCTTGACTTATGGAATAAACTAAAAGAAAGATACGATCACCTGAAGTTGATCATATTGCCGAAAGCCCGCAGCGAATGGCACAATTTGAGGTTGCAGGACTTCAAATCAGTCACTGAATATAATTTCACCATGTTCAAGATCACTTCACAGTTGAACCTATGCGGCGAGAATATTAATGACAATCACATGATGGAAAAAACATTCTCCACATTCCAAGCCTCAAACCTGCTTTTACAGCAACAATATAGAGATGAAGGCTTCAAAATATATTCAGCCCTTATTGCCTGTCTTTTGTTGGTAGAACAAAACAACCAATTGTTGTTGAAAAATCATGAATTTCAGGCCAATAGGTTCTAGCCCATTCCTTCAAGCGAATACGGTATAGTCTGAAAATCTAGGCCAAGGAAACAACAAAGGCCGGAGATATGGTAGGGGCCAAAAACGCGACCGTCCCCAACCTCGTCGAAATAATGGCAAGAAAGCATACAAGCCCCTAAAGTGGCAGAATGAAGAGCATAAAAGAAATTATGAAGATAAGTGTCACAGGTACGGCACAAAGGGACACTGGTCGCGCGTCTGCAGAACGCCTAAGCATTTGGTTGATTTGTACCAAGCTTCGCTGAAAGGGAAAAGTACGTCTGCTGACGTAAATCTCTCTGAGCAGAATAATGATGACGCATATGATGATGTATTGAAGAACACATCCGCTGATGTAAACCTCACTGAACAAAACAATGATGACACATATGATGATGTCCTAAACAACGACCTTATACATCTTGATACAACAAACTTCCTTGAGCACCTTGAAGGTGCCAAGTGACTATATATTGTACTGCTCTATTACTCTTTGTACCCCCTATACTTTTTGTAATACCCTTCTTTTTGTATCATTTTGTATTCCATCGCTATATTAATGTATTATCTTTTTGTTTGTTTTATTCTGAAAAGAATATGAATGCCACGTGTCACAATACATATTATAAAGACGACAATATTTGTCTAATCGATAGTGCGACCACGCACACAATATTGAAATACAAAAAGTATTTCTCCCACCTGAAGTTGGGAAAATCAAAAGTCAGCACAATAAGTGGCACTGCGACAATTGAAGGTTCCATAAGGGCCCTTATCTGTTTCCCTGAAGGAATTACACTTGAAATACAAAATGCACTATTCTCGAGTAAAGCTCGAAGAAATTTACTGAGTTTCACTCATATTCATAGAAACGAATATCATATTGAAACAATGGACGAGGCAAATAATAAATATTTGGTGATTAAAAAAATCATAAATTGAAATAAATGTGCAGTTGCGAAACTGCTTCATTGTCCTCTGGCTTGTATTATGCCAAAATAAGTACTGTTGAAACATATGCAGTAGACCTGAAGTCTACGCAATCAAATGAATTTTTGATTTGGCATGATCGGCTCGGGCATCCTGGAAATACTATAATGAGGCGAATAATCAAAAATTCCATTGGTCATTCATTGAAAGATTGAAATATCTTGAATTCAAGTGAATTCGCATGTGCTGCATGCTCACAAGGAAAATTGATAATCAGGCTGTCACCAAGCAAAGTTGGGATTGAATTCCCATCCTTTCTGGAGAGAATTGAGGGTGATATATGTGGACCTGTAGATCCACCATATGGGCCATTTAAATATTTTGTGGTGCTCATTGATACATCAATGAAATGGTCACACGCATGTTTGCTATCTACGCGTAATATAGCATTTGCAAGGTTACTTGCACAAATAATTAAGTTGCAAGCACAATTTCCTAAGTATCCAATAAAGAAAATTCGTCTCGATAATGCCAGTGAATATTCATCACAAGCATTTGACGATTATTGCATGACTTTGGTAATAACCGTTGAACACCCTATTCTTTATGTCCAAACCCAAAATGGTCTGGCATAATCCTTTATCAAAACACTGCAATTAATTTCCAGACCATTATTGATGAAATCCAAACTCCCCTTCTCTGCTTGGGGACATGCAATATTACATGCAGCAGAACTTGTGCGAATTAGACCGACAAGTTATCAGAAATACTCTCCAACACAATTAGTGTTTGGAAAAGAGCCCAATATTTCTCATTTGAGGATTTTTGGATAAACGGTTTACGTACCGATTGCACCACCTCAACGAACAAAAATGGGTCCCCAACGTCGATTGGGAATCTATGTCGGGTACGAATCACCGTCGATAATTAAATAGCTCGAACCAATGACGGGTGATCTGTTTAATGCACGATTCGCAGATTGTCATTTTGACGAAACAAATTTTCCGACATTAGGGGGAGAACAAAGAATTGTACATTTGCAACAAATTGCAAATCAGTTACCGGATGCATTTAATGACTCTAGCAGAGTCACCAGGTCATATATTCCTGCAGCAAATGCTCCGGAAAAATTAAATATTCCATAAGGACATATGAAAAGTGCAAATGTCGGGGGTTTACCCAATGCGCACTTTCGACTAACGATTACGGGTTCTCACATCATAAAAAAAGAAACAACAACACATATGTGTAGAAAATCACACACAGTGCATAAAAAAGTACAATAAATACATTTATAAAAATATATAATAAACATTATAAATAAACTCTGAATCCTTAAAACAAATATTCCAGTGCGTCAGTAAAGTAATGATTATGTTTTTATAATTTTTTAATAATTTTATTAAAATAATAATATCATATTTAATATAAATACATTGATAGGACGTGCTACAAATAAATAAATCACATATACAATATATTAAAGGCACATAGTAGATTATTCAATAATTTTATTAAACTAATAACGAATCATTATTTTAAATAGCAAATGTTACATAGAAAAACATCACATATCTAACACAATAATAGTACACACACAACACAAAATAAATATAACTTTTATACAAGTTCATATACAAAAAACAGCAACACAATATGACTAGAAAATCACACGCGTGTAGCAAAAAAGCACAAGAAATATATTTAAAAAATATATAGTACTGCAATTTTTTAGTGTATCAATAAAAATTAATTATTATTAGATTTTTATATTTTTAAATAATTTTGTTAAAATAATAACAATATCATACTCCAATTATACATAATAGATAAATAGCCCACATAATATATAAATAAATCACATATACGACATATTAAAAGCACGCAAAGTCTTTTTATTTATTAAACCATAAGAGCGCACGAAAATATTTAATTTAGCAATTATTTCAACAGTTAATACACCACATTAAATACATATGAGAAATGAAATTACAGATCTGACACTCTTTAATGTACACTATCATATTTAATATGATGTCAATTTAACGGTCATTAATGATTCAGCACGGTAACGTCAGCACCACAGCCGCCGCCTTATTCTAATGTTAATAGAGCATCCAATGAAAAATAATTAAGCCTAATTATAACTAAACCATCAAATTCCAGGTTTTCCCTTCCTAAACAATAAATTGAACAAAAATAGAAATTTGTCGAAACAACAACATTTATTAATTAAAATAATAATAATAATAATAATAACCATTTCAAGAGAATTTATAATGACGCATTAAAGCTGAAGCCATTTCCCTGAATTTTAGCCTTTTTGGAAACATTAGCCAAGATTTTTTCAAGCTAAAACGAATTATTATGGGGATATTGTTAGAGTATAATGGCGCTGGGTTGGCTTATTTGGTGTCGGTTGTCTCCAACCGACGCCAAATCCAACGCCACTTTTTGCCGTTGCTACAGTGCAACGCCAATTTTGGTGTTGCACTGTAGCAACGCCAAAAAATGCCGTTGCTTTATTATTATTATTATTTTAATTTTTCTAATTTTTAAAATTATAAATTTAACTTTTAAATTTAATTTTTATTTTTTTAAATTTTTAAAAATTTTATTTTAAATTATAAAAATAAAAATTTGTTTAAAATAATAAGAAAAATTAAATATTTGAAAAATAATAGTGAAAAATAGAGTTATGATTGGAGTAAAATTACTGTAGCAATTATATATTTAGAGTTAAAATTGTATAAATTGAATTGATGGGTTGGACATGACCTTAAGGACAAACAAAGCACCAAATATCAAGTGAACTAATTAAAGAAAAATCATTGATTAATAGACATGAGAAGAAATACAAATACCAAATATACATTCTCTAAGATTATTTCCTACTTATCGAGTACCTCACCAGTGGGTTAGGTTAACATGGGTTAATTGGAGAGATTCATGCTTGTCAATCACATAAAAGAAGGATATTTACCACGGGTTAATAAATAGCTAAGTGTGTTTAAATTCCATCCAATTAACATTATGCCATAGAAGAATTTTAACCGACACTTGGTGCACACAAACTAATTAAATAAATATTGCTAACTGTCAATACCTTATCATTCAATAGTGACTAACAATGAATGATGATTGATGTCAAATAGAACCAAATCCAATCTTCTCTTATACTCACTCGGTTTCATCACGATCATAATCTACTCCAAGATTCTCTTCCTTTTCTCTCACGATAAGTTGTAGTTGTTCTCTTCGATCTCCCTCGGTTCCGATCTAGTCTGACACTCCATAATCCATAAGTATGTTACTTTACTACTATATTATATCTATAAAAGTCTTAGGTTTCGAGTTTGAATCTCGTTTTTCATTGTTCGTGTGCAAGTTTCGTTTGATGACATTTATTTCCTTGCACGTAAGGGGCGTAATGATTGACTCTCATTTGTAAATAATAAATAAGTGATGCATATTCTAACAATTTAACTTTTTAAAGGCCATCTACTTCCGCCCTCAAGAAATTGTACATTTACATGTATTTGTTTGATTTATTATTATTGTTTGGAAAACTGAATTATGCTATTTGTACACATTATCAGAAAATAAATGATGGAGAATATGAGGAGAAAGGAAGGGTTGTTGGTGTTTTTTTACGGTGACTTTGAGACCATCTTTACTGCAGTTAAAATTTTTTTATTTTTAGAATGGCGCTCTAGTATGTAAATTTCATTCTGCAAATTTACAGATTTTACCTTCTCCTCAGAGAGGGTGCAATAATAAACCGGACTTAGCGGATTAATTAATGTAACACCCTCTCTCGTGAGAAGTGGTATTTTAAAAAAAAATATATTTATTTTAAATTATAAATTATAATTATATTTTATCTATTTTATTTTATTTTTGTTTTTGTTTTTAACTTTTCTTTATCTTTTAATTTAATTTTTTTTTAAAATAATATTTTTGTTCTTTCTATTTTATTTTTTATATATATTATTTTTATTATTTATAAAATAAATTAGTTATAGTATAATTTTGTAATTGATATTTATAGTAAATTATATATTTATTTATTTAATGTTTATTGAAATTTATAGTTAATTAATTATAATAAGATAATTATAAAAATGATTTATATTAAATTAATTAAATTGTAGTATTATGTTTAATCAAATAATAATAATATTAAAATTTTAATTTATTTACTTTAAATATATTTTTTTATGATCAAACAATAAAAATTATAAATATAATTTATCGGTATAATATTTTAAATGCTAATGGAAAATATTATTATAAACTAAGCTTGTAAAAATAGTAAAATATTGAGTGTATTTTTAAATTAAAAAAATATATAAAATAAAATATAGAGAGAATATTCTTTTTTTAACTATGTAAAAATAAAGAATATGGTTAAAAATAGTTACTGTAATATGCAAAAAAAAAAAATAAATAGAGAAATGCATGTATCTCCTGCAAAAAAATATCATTTTATATTATTTATTATTTATATTACTCACTAATATTTGCATCATGCTG